AGATGTGTATAAGGGGGGGGGGCTGCTCTCCGCGACGGGGTGGGAGGTGGGAGAGAGGGCTTGCGGCGCCCCATTGTTTGTATTCCCACCATGCATTTCGGTGGAACAGTTTAAAATAGCGAACTGCGCATGGGCATGTTGTGTGTTTATATTTTTATTTCCGTGTAGACCTTTACCAAAGATCGTATACAATCTTTGCTTCTACTTACTGGCTAACTCGCTACATGCTGGAAACGTTAAAATACAGTAGTACTACTACGGATTATTTTATTGTACTGTATTATTATCTGATTTTAACTGAAAACTCAAAATTTGTTTCCGCGTAGCTAGCTAGGCATAGGCCTAGTTCTTAAACTTAAAAGCACGTACAGTACTTCGTTAGTCCTTGGCTAGGCTTTTTCCAGCTGGGAGTAGGCCTAGACCGAACCCCAACAGAAGACTGTTCCTTCCTTATATGAGTAGGCGCGCTCAAACAGTATCACTTGAAATATGTACAAGGCCACAGGCCGAGTATCCTTTCATTCGTTGGTGATGGTGGTAAGTAGGTGGTATAGTACATACAAGTAGGTATACTTTGTTTTAACCCGTGCCACGGGGCAGTGGATGTTGCTGTGCTACATACAGTGGGGTATAGTTGTGCTGGGGCGCTGCTAGCTGTGCCCTTCTAACTAAGAAGACGAGGTAATTTTTGGTCCCGGTCACCAATTCCATTGTGGGATTTAACATGTGCTCGTTTTTTTAATCATGTTTGTCTTTGTCATTTTGTATTCCAATTGTTTTTAATGAAGAAATAAATGATATATCAGTGATCTAGGAATTTGAAATAGAAGTGAGCCAGATAACACAGATGGATGTTCTACAGTGGTGGACCGTTGGGTAAATTTCAGGGTATGATAGGTAGTGGCATACCTATAGTGTGTGCACATCCCCAAAATTACTTCTCCTCCCCATTTTCCTCCTTCCATTCATCATGCTCAAGTAGCCCTATAGTTAAAATTCAACTCAAATCACCTCATTTTGTGAGTTAGGACCTAGATGTGTATAAGAGACAGAGAATATGAGCGAGCCCTATACAAATCNNTCTCTTATACACATCTAGATGTGTATAAGAGACAGTTTCAAGACTCTAAGATAAGCCACTGATTATAGGGACTGCTAGTGTAACCTTTCAACTTTAAGAGATACATATTATGGGATGAAACCTACAGTATTTATGATCAGTTTTATATGGTGTCTGGATCTCTTTGAATTTCAACAAACACTATACGGTCACAAGTAGCAGGGGGATCCAGAGATGTCCAGATGTGGGGGACCCGATCGAGATAACACTTCCAATGGGGTCCGGGGAATTCCCCCTCCAAAATATTTTTGTTCTAGACGCCCAAAAATTAGCATCTGAGGTATTTTGGGCAATAATTTTTTTTCCTTTCTTTCTTTCTTTTACACCTTCGAAAAGGGGTAGTTGGGGCCCTTTCCCCCCACCCCCATCTTAAATTCGCCCCTGAGTAGGAAAAGTTTGTTAGCCTATAATCAAAGATTCTTCTATAGAAAAAATACAAATGTCTGTTCTTTTTTTTTTTATTACTGGCATGGTTGTAGTTTCTTTTAAAAAGAATTCCTTTTCCTGTAGTTTAAAAAATTTAAGTTTCTTCTATACCAGTCGTATATTTAATTCATTTAAAATTTAGTCATTGAGATTATAGAATGTCGGCAAAACAAATTACCTGATTGGCAGTGGAGGTCCCAATTAGGCTACTGTGAAGAGATGCAGTGAGAAGAAGAGCATGCGCACATACTCTTGGAAGCAGTGCCTCATTCCAGTGTTAAATTGGCTAATCTAACGCCACACGGTTGGAACAATAGCAATTTCAAGCATTAGGGTATGCTGCCACTTTAATTGACTCACTGAATATGCGATGGGCTGATATTGAAAACCAGCCATGTAGAAATTCTAAGCAGCTGAGGACTTATCCAAAGTAGGCCAAAAATTGAAAACATTGCTAACTGTAGCAATCAATTCGAAAAATGAAGGTTTGTATAGAAGATCGTGGCTAACAATGCTAAATAAAACAGAGAAAATGTACAATAGTTTATTTTCTTTTTAGTTTTTGCCAGGGTATGCACTGCATACCTTCTATGCCTTGACAGTCCGCCACTGAATTAAACGGTCCAACCAGTTTGTCGAAACCCAGTTTTCCAAGTCCTTGGCCACATTTTTGAAACCACGACTTGCATTGAAGCAAAAGCAAGGAGATATGGGGTATGACCAACGGTTATCAAAATTTGCCTGGCCTCGTCTGTCATGTCGCAGACAATATCTACTCGCACCATTTGTGTGTAAAACTCTTATCATATGGGCTATGTTGACTGAAAGCATTCGTCAATTTGTTGTAGCCAATATCTGTCACCAAGAGGTACTGCGTTTCAAACATCTTCGTGCAAGAACCAATTGCCTTCATCTATCAGCTATTCATGAATGCCCCAGACTTTGGTTTTATTTCCCTGATGATCTGAAAAACTCTTTCTTTTTTACTCTTTTCACATCTTTCTCAATAAACTTAAACATTTTGTCCTTCATAATAATTCTTAATTCACAAAGTATTGTAAATAAGATTGTTTTACATTAGAATTATCTTATTTTTAAAATTTTATGTTTAAATCCTAATTCTTTAATTATATTTAATTAATTTTATATATATTTTTTTTAATTTAATTTCTTTTAAGTTAAAATGATTTCTGATCAATGATTACATATTTTGTTTCATCTATTTTTGTATTCCACTTACTTAGAGATTTGCTTTCAGTATTTTGTTAATTTCGTTTTATTTTATTATAACTGACCTTTTTTATTTATAATATTATATCTATGTTAAACTAGATGAGTGAGGTTCACAGATTTTGTGTTATAGTGATTTCGTTGGCTTTTGTGTTCCTGCCAACTCATTCAATTTATTGTACTTGTATTCTGTATGTATTCCACCATTGTATTGTACTTTGTTTTTGGCGAATATAGAATAAGAACTTATTATAAATGTGCATATACAGTAATAAAACATTTTAACCCTATTTAATTTTTTTTTTTGTATTTTTTTTTGCTGTAATAGCCAAATTGTTAATCAAGGTTGAATTACAGAATAGTCTGCTATTTATTATACAAATCCACAGTGATCGCATCTTAATGGAATGGCTTCTAAATTCTTAACGTTGCAATTCTGGCCACCCCTGACTTTCCGCTGGCACCACCACTACAGATGCAGTCATGGTCAGAGAGTGCTCCATCATGAATTTTATGCAGTTGATAATGTTTCACTGCTTTCAATTGACTTTTGGCAAACTGGGTTTTGGTAAACTGGGATTCATGTTTTTTTGAGTCAGCAAACTGGGTTTCGCCAAAGTGTGGGACCAACTCCCAACAGTTTAACCTGCCATGAGATCAAATCCAAACAGGATTTCTGGCTTGAAATGCCATTAATAAGACATATTTTAGTATAATAATTAGCCAGATTCTTGTTTAAATTTAATAAAAGGTGTGAAAGTATTAACCTTTTGCTCTGTTTATCTTTTCAATATTAACATGAGCCACATAAACAGTAATTAATGGAGTTAAACTTTTGGTGATCCCATTGGAAATGTAGAACCATTACTTATATATTTTGTCAAAATCATTATCAAAATTATTATCTGTAAGATATTTTATTTTTTTCAGATATTTTTTTGTGACAAGAAATCAATCATCACATATACAAATATCCAGAAGTAATGAAACTTTTAAAGTAAATAATGTAAACGCAGAGATATTAAATTTCATCATCAGTCTCAGAAACTAAAGGAGAATGCCACTTTTAAATGGTTAGTTTACAAATGATTAAGTTTCTTGAAAATACCACAAAATTCTAGATTTCTTAATTCTTGATATATCAACATACTATATATAGTATATGGCTTTTCGCTGTGTGTGTGTGTGTGTACAGTATTGTATAATCAATTTACCACTTCTTGTTTCTTGGGGATTTTTTGTTTGTTTGTATTAAATCACACATTTATTTATGAATTTTACTTCCTCTTCTATCCCATTTTCCTATGTTTTTACACAGTGTTTTGCTGTCTGCCCATACAAAGACTATCAAAGATGTCTATATTTAAAAATTAAAGGCGATGTCATTCTACATATATTAAGAACCATGTGCCAAAAATTACTACTTTTTTTCCAAAAAAATAAAAATTAACATAGAGATACTGTACTTCAATACAATTTAATCATATGATTGTGGACATTAACCAATTTACTAGGAAATGTGTTATGCAACTTTGAAAATGTTATCTGTAAGATAAAGTAAAAGAACATAGTGTAGTGGAACACTACTATCACCAGAATCACCCACCTACCACTTTTGGCTGGAAAACCTCTTGTTTTTTGTGGCCCAGTGCTGATCATTTGAAAAATATAATATACTGTACTGAACATTAAGCAGTATAGAAGCAGTTCATGAAGGTTTTGCAAGTGCAATGTAAGTTTTGATTTGGCCCCCAGTGTTAAATTAAAAATTGTTCACTTTGGCTCTCCGAACCATTTATATGACCATCCCATCCAGAACTTAAGGTATTCTATCAGTACTATTTTTTTTAGTAAAGTATTATCATTAATTTCCAGATCTCAAAAGTAAAAGACAGGGATATGCTCCAGTGGCTGTGATACCATCCGACAGCGATGAAGATGACAACTTTTCCTTATCAGTTAGGTCCAATGATACTTGTCCATGCAGAGTGCCAGATAGGAAAAACAATGAAGCTATCAAAGACGAGGGCATCGATATAGCAGTGCACAACCCACAAACTGATGCTAACCTCAACATATCTATTGAAAAATTGAAACAGAAAAAAAATCAGACGACGTCAATCTGTCTTCTTATTACAAGCTTAGTTATATTTGCAATTATAATAGGATTTCTCATTCAGTATCAAGTATTAAATAATAACAAGGCTGATGGAGAATCTCCCGTCAATCAAATGTCCGATGTTGTTTGGGAAACCTTGCCACTCCCGTATGCAAGCGAGTCTGTCGTGCGCCTACAGGATTTGAATGATGATGGAGTTCTAGATATATTACACACATTAGTAAGATCATCTTCACCTAAGGAAAATTTCTGCAAGAGCATTCGTTAGTACTTCAGATTTCATTTTGTTTATGGTATTTAATTTAACAATGCTGCCTTACCTAAAATTAATACAATACACAGTTCATTCTTCATTGTCATTTTCAAGGCAGTGTTACATTTCAGGAAAAATGCAGCTCTTACAATTTACATTGGTTGCAAAAAGGTGAAATACAACTGGGAATAATTTCAAACCTTGACTGCATTATTAAAAAGAGCTATAAATATCTATTATCATTATTAATAATATTCATTAATAAAGCTTGCTACCAATCACCATATATACACAACCACATCTACTGTATTTTATGTTTGCAGATATGGATGAACCATGTCTGGGAGCAGTGCATGCTGTCGATGGTAAAAACGGGAGTTTACTTTGGGAGACAAGCTGTCGTAGTGATATATTTGCCATGAACTGTGGCAACCTTGATATTGATGGAGATGGTCATAATGACTGCCTTCTAGCCGGGCGTGCTGCACAGCTTTACGCTATTAATAGTAGAACTGGTGAGAAATCTTACAGAAGCTAAGAACTTTTCTGTTGTACAGTACAAGTTGTGGTTCTTTACATTCTGTTTTTGAACTAAAGCTGGCAAACTGAACATTTATCAAGAAAGCCACCCTTGTGTGGAAAAGCATTCCTGATCACCAATCAGGAGATTCTACAAAGAATCCAATCTTTTTAAACTTTAATAAGTAGGCCTATCTCCTACAGTAGCTACATGTGAGCTACTCTGCTTTGAACCATTAATTTGGCCATTATTAATCTTGGATAATGTGACTATCGATCATTTCGGCGATTTATAAATAAATCAAAAAAGTCACCATCAGTTACAATTATATATATATTTATTTATTTATTTTGTTAAATATTGTAGGAAGAGTGTTGTGGTCAGCAGACAACAACCAATACACTCAGTATCCTTGGAACTTCTACCAACCACAAGTTGTCCCAGACTTGGATCAAGATGGTGTCAGTGAAGTGGTTGTAGCACACGGTGGTAATGTTAATTATCCTGATGAGGTAATATTGATAAAGATACTTATGATGACATGATTAATACTGAATATCACAGTAGGTAGGATAGAGTAATTCGTCACCAAAGAGACACAAACTTCAGTTTCGACCAAAACAAAGTTCTGAGAAAATGCCTTTGAAGTGGACTACTTCATAAAACCTAAAATCTAAATTTTGTTATCTTGATAGTGAAATTTATTTCACTATCAACATAACAAAATTTAGAAATTTTGTTTACATATGTTTAAAGATAAAGCATTAAACAATTTAAATGTTCAATTTTTTTCTTTTTTTAACTTTAATTCATTTGTTAATTAGTGTGAAAAGTTTGTGTCTATTCGTAAAAACAATAAAAATATACCCAGCATAGTTTGTTTACACGTACAGCTAAGTTTGTGTCTCTTTGTGAAAATGAAAATTTCATTTTACACGCTGTATGCACTCCGTTGTCAGACACAAACTTCGTTTTCACCTGTTTTAGCATTGTAGTCAAGGGTGATTATAGGCCTAAAAAACTAGGTTTATCCTGCTAAAAACCATTATGCTTTTACTAATATTTCCACACTATTTGTGTACAAATAAATGCTTCAATTCAGAATTTGTTTGCTAATGGACATTTTCTGCTAAAACATATACTGTACTGAACTTGTAAAGTGTCAATAGACTACAACATTTACAATAGGTTTTTTTGCCTCATTATGGATGGGTAATGGTTGAAGAAACAAGGCAATATGCAAGGGTTAGCAAATATGGAAGGAATGATGTAGAGGTGCAAACAATTATTAGGAGCGTATTCTGGCCTGAGGGTGTTAATGATGAAAGGGGAAACTGAAAGGTGAACTGAGACAAGTGATGGCACCAGTAGGGGATCAGGGAGGGCATTTTCCCTATCATGACCAGTTTGTTTGACCAAGACTAATATACCAATTAGGTGATTCAATGGCCAATCGGTTAAGGCAGGGGGCTACAGCATACAGCAATAATAATAATATACTGGTGGTGAAACAAGTCTTCTTGGGTACGGACTACAAACTGTAGGCCCAGTGTACACAATTTGGCTTATATGCACTTTAAAGAATTCTTTCGAGACAATGGGGGGGTTACTCTGGTGTACTGGTCCATACAACCCCTGTTGTGGAAAGACGAGCAGCTGGAACTGGTTTACCGAGTAGTTCAGACACAAAGAGACCCTAAGGGGAAGGAAGTTAGTGCATGAGCTGGTCCACACCTCAAGCGCTTTGAGACTAGGGTATAAAGCCATATATAAATCCTACTACGTTACAATCCCAAATATTGTGGTCTGAAAACATTTCAGCCATAATAAGCCATAAAACTCTCTCAGTCGAACCTGGTCAAGCCTCTAGTTGGTCCCTTGGTTCAGACTCCCTGTCGAACTGCATGGGAGTGAAAGAGACTGTACTCAATCTTTGCAATTTTTTTCCAGGTTGCAGAAGATGTACAATAGAATGTAAAAAACTAAAATGCCACCTTGGCAGATAACACCAGTCTACCTACCATGTCTATCTTTTCATCTGCCAGTTGGCAGCGGTCCATGACAGTCATCTTCTCCTTTCAAATGTTATAATTCAAAGTAAACTAAAAGTGAGGTTGTTTCCCGTTGATAGAATATATACATCATTTTAAAGTAATACATTATTGCTTACGATACTGTATTTGATTTTCTCGCTGATCTTCAGAAGTTGGACAGAGATGCTGGACGGGTCATCTTATTGTCTGGCAAAACAGGATTGGCACTAGGACGATACCTAAACATGTCCGACGGCCACGAAACCTACTCAGCAATCACTTTATACGAGCGGCCAAATGGGGCTCTTTACATTTTATATGGTTCAGGTGGAGAGACAATTCAAGGTAGTTTTGAAATACATTATTATCATAGTTACACATCAGCACCATTCTCCTTCTTCACTATTATCTTCATCACAGCTGTAATTTCTGTAAACGTCTTTTTAAAGAATGGAAGAATAAAATACCTAAATTAACCATAATTCATATAAACAACTATCATATATATCATCACAAGATGTTTTGAAATAACATTATTATAACATAAAATATTTTACATTTTTCTTCTCTATACTGTATTGTAAAGCTAATAACTATTCAGAGTAACTAGCTGAATTGATTCCGGGGTAGCACAGAAGTTATTATGAATTTTAATGAGGTGAAAGCAAGAAACTTGTGATAAGTGCACACATGTCAGTGTAAAAATATTCTAATTTGTTATACAAGGGAGGTTTCTATTGGAAATTGGGACAGAAACATTTTTAGAAGTACCACAAACTGCACCACAAAAAATCCCCATTCTGAACATTAATATCAATGTGTAGCTGATAGATTATATTTTTTTTTGCACCAAAATATCTTTTGAGAGTGCTAGAGTCCTAACATTTTCTTGGAGAGGACATTGTGCCTATTTCTCTCAGAAATAGGCATAATTCACCACATTTTAAATAAAGCAAGACAATCTGCATTGAACTTCAATACAGTATATCATAGTTTAATATTTGTCTGTTTATAAGAAAACTACTGTAAATATTTTCAAAATGCCTAATTCTTTCCTTTAGGATCTTTGTGGGGCATTTCTTTGCGAGATCTATACTGCTATGTGAAAGAGACAGCACCAGAAAAGGTTAAGGACCAGGTTCCTTTCCTAGGGTCAGATTCTTACAAGGAATCTTGGGGAAGACCTCTTCAGACATCTGATGTAGGTGTTATAGAAATACTGAGGTATGATATTGAGAACATTAACATTCTTCAACATGTCATTTGAGCAGGCCTATCATTAAAATTGTTTAAACCAGTGACATGTCCTGTCTTGTCTATTAATGGATTCTTTGGCCTAAAATATATTATATTTGAACATTAACAATAGACCTACTGGTAACAGGTATGCCTACTTAAAGTTTCCCTCTGCAATAAAAGCTACTTCAAGATTGCCTTTGTAGATATATTTCATATGATTTCACTGATATAATAATAAAGTTCATCTACATATGTAATTATCATTTTGGCTTTTTCAGGTCAGATGGTGAAAGGGGGATAATGGTACCAACAATTTTAGCAGATATGAATAATGACGGAATCAATGATTTAATTGTATCTTTATTCAATGGAAGTTTTGCAGTACTTAATGGTGATAACCTTACTGTTATCTGGTCAACTGGTTTCCACGGTTATCAATCATACAGGTAAGAATCATCACAAACATTGTTTTATGCTGCTGTGGATTGTTGGCAAAATATTTTTTCACAGTGGTGTATCTACGGGTCTGCACTCATCCCCTTAAAAAAGCATGCAAAATCCAGTCGCCCGCCCCAATTCAAAATGTTCAAAGAAAAAATACCATGCTCAAGTAGATAAAAAAAAAATCACATATCACATTATTTTGCAGGCACCCCTTCATTTAATCATAAAGTTCCCTTCACCCTTTGATTCTCCATCATCCCATCTCCCCATTTCAAGATTTGAATCACATAGCTCATTGAATTAGGCAAGACAAGGAACAATGTACAGTAATCATTTCATGTAATTACTGGGACGGATTGCTATAAGCGGTCTTTAGACGGTCTTAACGGTTAGCTGGCTATAATCGTGACGTCACTACTGGTCTATGATTATAGACCACTGCTATACCAATCTATAGACCAGTCTAACCAGTTAGCCGTCTTAAATTTTAAAGCCTACTAGGAAGAGGCTTAAAACCGTCTTAAATCATTTTCATCATGGCATTCTGCTGATTAATTCAACAGTGCAATGGCAAGACCTAGATCGTCAAAGTCGGAGAATCGAACGACTATTCTGCATGCTTCTCAGCGTCTGTAAAAATAGGTCTACGTTTTGCGTTCATTTCGATACATTTGCATGTGTGCATGCATGACGTCGCTTTCAATCTTACATTACAAGAGAGTGCTGGTTTGCCTTTCATTATTCCAAATGGTCCTACGGAAGACTGTTTTATAGCAATGGTCTTAGAGGAATGATTTTAGTAAGACTGTCTAAGTGATAAAGACGGCTTTATTCGAGGAGTTAAGACTACCAGTTAAGACTATTTTATAGCAATCCGCCCCTGGTGACTTTTGTGCTGTTGCTCCCATGGTCCCAGCCCAGTCACAATTCCAATTTATGACAAATAGAATGATGTACTATAATTATGATATATTATTAACTTTTAATTAAAAATTAGGAGATAACATTTTTTTCTTACAAATCAACTAAATCATAAATACCATTCCTGTACTTTCATATCCTTTAGGCTGGTAAATGGTACAAGTTAGTAATACTGTAAGAAATCAATTTCATAAATATCTGTGTGATTGTCTATTGTTATAACATTGTCAAATATATTTGTCTACTTTACAACTTTATAACCATATTTTACCAAGTATAAGGCTTGTGTATAGGTCCAGCTTTTAGCATTCATCCCAGAATAAGTCCAGGCTATAATTGCAGATGGAAATGAAAGGCTAGCATTGATTATAACAGTCCAGGCATTCCCACCATCCAGGCCTACCTATCTATCATGAGCATAAAAAAAATCAACAAGTAAGACTGCAGGGCTGCCCACAGGTCTTTCCCAGCTCACACACCCAACCACTGTCTGTATTCAAGAGTTGTATGGATCAAAAGAAAATAAAATACCAGAAAACCCAATCAGACTTTCATCTGGCATATTTCGTTAAAGCGTCATGCATAATAATTTTTTTAGCATTTTAAAAAAGTCAATTCAATCAATTCAATGTACATTTATTCAATCAATGAATGGACATAACATAAATCATTTGATTTCAATAATAAAATTCCATTGATAAGGATCAAGTTATAGAAGCAGTTTGGCTTGTCTCAATTGACCCTTACAAAAAAAGTACAAAATAAAATAACAAAAAGCACAATTATAATACCTGTACCATACGTACAAACACACGCATATCCCCCACACACACACTCACTCACCTACACACATACAAAATAACATTACTTGCACCATAATCGGGTGCTTTATATATACACATACATACATATACAAATCAAATCAAATCATATCATATACATACTGTACAAGTCAAATCAAGTTATTTAGTCAAGGTACTGTCCGAGTACTATAAGCCCACCCCTTAATTTCTGTGGTATTCCTTGGCTGCCACTTAAGCTTAATGCTCGGTAAAATATGGTATATCACCCCATGGTTTGCCATCTGTACATTATGTTATCTGCATGCTGCATGTCATTATAATTCACAGCAATCCTGCACCTGGTTACTTCAATGATGATGATCACCTTGACATCATGGTGTGTGTATCATATGGCACATGGCCAAAGTACCAACAGAACACTGTAAGGCATTTTATGGTCAAAAATAAAAAATTAAAAAAAAACAACAAAAAGCAAATTCAATCTAATTTACATATTAAGTTATTCAAACTTTTCCACTAAATTAATGATTTGCAGATATTTTTAAACCCAGAGTTTCTAAAGCTCTGTCCACCTGTACAATAAATAATGAAAGAAAAAGATGTATTTGGTGTGATATGACATCATGCCCACATGAAAGGTGTGATTTGTAAATGATCATGCCCAATTGTTGGGCTTGATGATCACACTATTTTTTTTTCACATAAAACTTGATACAGTTCTCCCTCCAATTAAAGACCACTTTTAGGACTGTGATTCCATGGTCTTTAGCAGCTTTGGTCTCTGATGAGAATTAGAACAATAAAGATTAAAGACACTTGTTAATTTGGGATCATAGAAAAGTGGTCTTTAATTGGAGTGGAGGTGCTGTGGTTCATTTCTGTGAGAGGGATTTTTAATTAGAGGGAGACTTGTAGATTGGACAGTGTAATAGGATATGAATAGACTGGTACTTTGAACATTAACTCGGATTCAGTTATTAAAATGGATATGAAACCATTTTCTAAAATCCAATGAATGAAGGTTTTGGAATCCTTGGGTAGTCAATAAACCAGTCACAAAATACTAACCTTCAACAATTTGTTGAATTTGAGAAATTAATAAAAACATTTGTAAAGTAATTTCTCCGAAAAATGGCCGATATGTCGATACGCCATCTTTGTTTTCTGTGAATGGTTGCTATCACAACCAGCAGCCACACAACGGGGCATACTGACACTTCAAATTAACCGGGAAAACTTTCTATAGAACTTTGTTTTGTGCTGAATACTATCGATCACTGTATGTTTGTGTAGCCAATGCCGCGAACATCGAGTGTTTTGTTGTACAAAGTGTATGTCATATCCGGTAAAGGTTAAATGTGGGTCAAATTCAGAAGGCGGGGCTTAGGACTACAGAATTCATAAAAATAGGTGATTTAAAACTCGTTTTTCAGAAAAACGCATTGTCTAAAAATAAAAGGAAAGCCACACATTTGTTTATTATATAATTCTTTATTGTTTTATGACATTTTGAAAGTAACAAGAACATGTCATTTTAGATGTTCTTTAAACATGAAAAAAAAAAAGTAAAATAAGACTGAAATTTGATTTTTTTTGTGTTCCACACAAAAAATAAATGAGGATGGATTTTTCATGTTTGATTTTGCGATAGGTCTGCGAAGAAATATATTAGGGGCTAAAAACATTAGCCTATCCAACACTGCTAGGCTAGGCCTAGCCTTACATCGATTTAGGTTCTGTCACACATAAAAACGGCTGACATGATATTTTCTGATGCTAGTATTGACACTTGTGGAATATATTTCATAGGAATTATTTCAAATCTGTTAAAAAAATGATTCTGACCAAGTTTTTGACAATTAAACAAACATATCTCAGGCCCACTCGATCAATCGCAGTGTGCAAGGTGCGAAGTACAAAAACTAATTTCATTAGATAAGAGAGGGTGCACTTTTTTGACTGTATAAAGTAGCGAGAGCATTCCAACGGATGCGATCTACAACATCTGAATTTGCCTAGTAACATAGAATTTGTTGAGAAAATGGTAATCTCCATATGAATTGTTAGGCCAAATTTTTGCAATGAAACACTCAAATTTATTAAGCTCATATTCACCGCATTGAAGTGACTTCCAGAAACCTTGGTTATCCTTTAGATTTGCTCATTTTATGAGGGGTAATTAATAGGCCTACCTTTAGTTTTTATGCATTGTTTGAGTCTTAAATATTATTATTAACAGTATTACAGTACTAGTTTAACAATCTTACAATTTAGGCTATAATGGTCATCCATATTTTACGACGCACTTTTTCTAGCCAGCCTGAACCCGGCTATCCCAGACCTGCTCAATAATGGTACGTTCCTGCTTTTTACCAGCTGGTAAAGAAATCTACAACCGTTTGTTTTAGATCCTTGTGTGCCTTTAAATTTACATTAAATCAAACAATAACACTCAGTACTTAATGAGTATGTAGAAGGTGAAAATGAAAAACCTAAAGGAAATTGGCCAATTTAAGGCAAAAGATAAAACAACAGCACAACACAGATTCATTAACAATGGCGGAAGGCTAGACAGGATTGTTCATTCATATTGAAATTAGTGTTTTGACGGAGAATTTTTTTCATCCAATGGGAATATATTTTATATGAGAAGAATCTATGAATATTCAGCTTTCCTTTTGGCGGGGCAGCAACAAGATATTTGATTGGTGAACAGCTGAAATGGCAATAAAGCCAACAAAATCCCTAAAAAGAGGTAAAAATGCAGCCTCTACGCAGTGGGCGGTCAGCATAGCACCAATCGAAAAGTGATAAATGACTATGACTTCTTTTCAAGCAATACAATTGAAACAAATAATAAAGCAATCAGAAAAGAATTGCCTTTCAAATATCGAAGGGAACACAAAAATCCAACAAGTATTTGCTGAGATACTACTGTGGAAACAACGAAAAATGACCTAAAAACAGTTAATGTCGGTGCGAAATACAGCATGAAACACTAATTTGCTAGGCTATTCTTGCTCTTAAATGAAAATGTTGCAAGAAGAATCCCTATGTATGAGAAATAGTCTATTTTTCGTTTTTTTTTATTCTTTTGCGTAAAACTGAAATTTATGAAAAATATTTTAGAGTATAGTCATTACAGCGTACATTGCAATGCATTTGTTGACAGTCATTTAAGAGGGTGTTTATTTGAGGAAAAAACAAACACCTTGGGGGCGTGTTTGAAAGAGGCATTTATTCCAAATGAGGCGCTAGAAGGGGCGTTTGTTCAAAGCAAGTGTTTACACAGTACATAAACACGGGTATGTAAATACTGCTCCTCCCTGGTCCACCCATCATATTTTCAAAAGTACAGTATGCTGTGCTTATAGTACGACAGTACAGTGGAAGCGGTTTGGCGCAGCGTGAAAGGTTTGGTTTCCCAACCTCGAGGTCGGGGTTTCAATCCCTCGCTGTGCATTTCGCTTGTGTCCTTGAGCAAGGCACTTTATCTGCATTGCTTCTCTCCATACAGGAGAATAAATGGGTACCTGGTGGGTTGCTTGCTCCTGCGCTGAATACAGCAGCAACACTTAGCATGTGGATCCAATGACCAGGGAGAGAAGCGCTTTGTATCTGCAAAGAAAGGCGCTATATAAATATATATGAATAGATTAGATTAGACAGTGACAGCAAGATTCAGTAAATTGGTTTCTGGCAAACTGGGTTTCAGCAACCTGTGTTGTCATGATTTCAGCGAACTGGATTCGGCAAACTGGGTTTCGGCAAACTGGATTTAGAGAAATTCATTAGCCCTGGTTGTGGCCATAGTCTGAATGTAATGGCCCTGTCACACCTTGACATCAAAACGCTGGCATCGATGCTTTTTTTTTCAATTTTGGGCACATTCATAACGTATTCATAATGTATTGAACGTATAAATAAAGTATTAGTAACTTATATAGAACATTTTAATCTTTATAAAAAACTTTCACAAACGAATGCTCAACGTGTTGTCAACATTTTAGCTGTACTATAATGTATACCAGCATGCTAATAAGCGTGCTCTTAACTTATACAAAACTTACCAATAACTTATTCGACGTACACTAGCGTACTGCCATTTTTTTCATACTTACATACGCTGTAAATCATCAAGGTGTGACAGGGCCATAAAATATAATTTCATCATTATTACAGACCAAAAAAATTCTTGTACAATATAATTTTTAGAACTGACAAATCAAATAGATGAAGAAGATACCAATTCTGAGCTGTATACAGATCCACTAGAAATGTCTTTCAACACAACCCAAGATAGAACTATGGATTCGGATGACCAAAGAGAAGGGGATACAAAAGAGAAGCATGATAGACAGAAACATGAAATAGCAGCAAAGAATGGTTCCCAGTGCTCTCCAATCACTGCGCTACTTATATCAACTGGTAAGTATTAATAGCAAAATAACCGTATATAACCATGTCTGTGTGTGTAGATACTAGATATAAAAATCCATAAATTCCCTATGCACAGTTGAGGGTGTATCTATACATAGCTTGATGTCTTATCTATGTTGCTAGCAACTGAAACGTGTATAGAAGAATGCTTTGGAGATATAATAATGCATCATAAAATCATGAAAACATTGAAAAATTAAGTAGCAATGAAAAGTTCATTTAAAAATTTTTTCCAGACCTTTTACTAAAAAAGTACTTAAATTAGCTAGCTAGTACGTCTGTGCAAAAGTATATAGAAAACAGTATACTGTATTATTTATATGTTTGATGGTGAGTAAACTATTGAAAGCTAACACTTTATCCCATTTAACTCACCAATTCAAATATAACGTAAATTTTAGGGGTTTCATTTTTTTTTTAGTCTTAATATACAGCATTACAGAGGGTACAGTTAGCTACCCAGTATTATCACGAGTCAAATGAAACCCCTGAGACCAATGTCTTATTTGGCCTAATTCGTTTGGATATGCTTAAATACGCTCAAATTCTTGAATAAATAAACAAAAATCCTGGTGTATAAGACGAATGCTAAATGAATGCTGATCGTACAACGAGCACCCATGTAACGAATACGGCATGTGTACACCCAACGAATGTTGAGCGTACACATGTATGCTTAGCGTGCTGTGGCCAGTCACATAACGTGTCTCAGCTGTGTCGACCTGAGTTCAAGATTTATTTGTTATCGTCATACATAATACATATACGAGATTTGTTTTTGACTTCAAACAAAAATAGCAAACAGTAAAAATCGGAAACAACACTATAAAAAGCAAGACAACATTTAACTGATATAATAATAGATAGCTTCATTATGCAACCACCTAAAAACTACCACACAAAGCTCAGCTGCCAAGTGAGCCGTTAATAGTGTAGAAGCAGCAGTCCAGGCAAAGGCTGCATCACCTCCAAGCACCCCTGTCCAGACAGACTCAACTAGACCACCAATCTCTCCACTGACAGTGTACCTCTTTAATCACCTCGAAACACCCGTCTGGAGAGATTCACCTAGACCACCAATCCCTCAACTCAATCGTTAATGAACAAAAAGAAAACTTACACCCAATGTGCGAAATGTTCAAACAAATGCTCACCTTATACAGAGTGTATTGAGCAGAATGTTGTCACACGTTCTAAATTTTCAACATGTCCAAAATTTTAATTTGATCCCAGTGTATTTCTGCGAACACTACGAACAGCTAACGTATGCAACATATGTCAAACATGTCACAAACCAATGGCCACTTGTGCGAATGTACACCAAAAATCATTGGCATATGTTGGCTCTATTCAATACAGAGTGACAGGGACTGTAGCTTAAAATGTAATAGAACAATTATACAAACAAAACGGAAAACAAAATCAAGCTAGCAAGAAACATTTAACTGTACAACCAGAAACCAAAAATGTTTTATTTATTCGATTATTGTTGTTGTGTTTGGTCGAACTGTAATGTTCAAAATTCTAACTGTTTACAAGTTCTTATGAATAGATTAGGTAGAATTTTACTTTCTGTTGATAGGACTCCTGTTGATTGTATTTTAAGTTGCCTTGGATGGAGTAGACTCAAATGTGATTTGGAATGAAAAATTACTTCTTATGACTTTCAAATGCTTAAAAGGATATGCCCCTCAATATTTGTCTTCAAAATTTACCTTTAACAATACTACCCATTCTAAAGGCACATGTAGCTAAACCCATAACAACCTGGTTCTTCCCATGTATAATATTGGACAAGGAAAAAGAACTTTTTTATATCAATCATCCAAAAGCTGGAATGAACTACCACACAAATTAAAACTTAATTTTAAAGAGATGTCGACTTTTTCATTCCAAAATCATTTAAAATAATATTTTCAAATTTTATTTTATTTTATTCTTTCTACTGTATATGTTTCTCGTCACTGTACCACTTTCAGTACTATAGTAGTGAAAGTGCCTATAGTATAAAGAAAGATTAAATAAATAAATAAATTCAAACACAACTACAACTGCAATAAAAAAGTATTTGTAGAAATAAAATATTGTGTCTAAGCTCTGTCCACCCTATTAAATTTTATGTTACAAATTTGTGTGATGTGTCCATATATGGGCATGATGATGACATATTACTAATAATACACCAAAATATGGGCATATCACATTTATTGTGTGGAAAGAGCTTTACTATTGTACAAAATTTTAAACTTAAGCTTTTATTCTGCTAATTATATTTTCTCCTTTAGGAGCAATAAAGGATGTTGATAATGATGGTAATTTGGACTTGATTAACTTGTATACTCGGCAAACAGTTGTACAGGATGGTGAAACCAATGTGCATAGTACTCTATCGCTCCAACGCTTGGAACTCCGCACCCATGACTTGAGTCACACCAGAGTTCCACTCCACAGCAACTTAACAGTCATCAAGACTGAGGATTGTGGGAAATGTGATGGTAGGTCTTCCATGAAGCTTCTCAATGATGGATGGCTGGGATATATGGGACTGCGTGGAGACAGTATATATGACATTGGACATAAGAATTAATTGTAGAGCAGTAAGATTTATTAGGCAGCGGTGGGCCGACTAGAGCATTGGTCCAAGTCTTCGAGCTCGAACTTATTCATGTCAAACTTGTCCATGGTTGGTTGGTAGTATAGTTTGTGGTGCTGCACGCTTGGCAATGATAGTCTAGTCAAATTGGGTGACATCTAGCCTGGGAATTTCCCTACCCATGATTTATTATGTTAAAAAAAACAATACAACATTTAAATGTATATAAATTTTTATGATATTGTATGTGATAGGTTGTTATTTGCTGTAATTTAAATACCTTAATGGTTTAGTAACCAGAATATACTTTTATTCGCCTTGCAGCTGAAGAGACTCAAAATAATACAACTGTATTATTTTATGGTACTTGCCTTGATTTATGTGGTAGTAGTAAAGCAGTATGGAAGAGAGGCAGCACATTCTTCTTCCCATACCGTAAATCTATTAAAGAATAGGGGAGCTACACTACTAATTTAAAGATTGCATCACTACTAAAGTAAAAGGATCCGAGGGATGGCTGGCATTTTGAAATTGGTTATTGAAAATTATTATTTTAAGGGGAAACTTGCTTTTTGAGGGCAGCTGGCTTTTTGAGAGTGCCTATCTATCGAACGAAACCTAGCTCATTGAAGGGCAGCTGACTCTTTGTAAAAGACTTTTTAAGCTTCACCTGACCCTGTCTTTAATAAGTAACATACCATACCGGTATGGCAAAAGATACTTTCATCATATATCGTGCATAATTAAAGATTTTAAACAGTATAATTTTGCCGAATAACAAAAAAAAAGCATGTCCAAATGGATCATCCCTTGCAAATAATACTGTGCAATGTGAATAATAAGTAGATGCCATTTCATGAAATTTCTTTAAGTTATACAAAAAATGGTAAATTACCTAGGCATGGTGACATTTTAAATAAATATAAGCTCAGTTATAGTGGATAGTGTGAATATTCTCAACCAATAACGATAATGAAACATATCAAAGTTTTAGTTTAGTTTTTTAGTTTTTTTTTTTATCAGAGTATTATTGGCATTCAATTATCTCATTCTTGCATCCACAACTGCACCTACAGTACTGTAGCTTTGTCTGAGTGTGTGACATAGTAGTATTTTTATTATTTTTATGTTTAGTTAAAAAATGGAAAGCTACTTACCAATACTTTAATTGATTTCCAAAAGTTTGTTGATGTCCACTCTAAGGCCAAAAGATCATCCTCGCTTCCTCCACCACTTGTGACAAAGGGTTTACTGAGATGGGCAATTGCTGCCCACACAAGACATTAAGTCATACATTGCCGGATCTTGCCTTGCTCTCTTATTCGTACTTTCTGGTGAAAGATAATGCATAACAAAACATAATATTCATCTTCCACCATTTAACATATCCTAATATAAACAATAATTATACCTTTATATCATTACAGAATATATAGAACATTTAATTATAGTAATAGAACAAAAAGTCATGAAAAATTGTAAATTAATGGTTCCTAAAGAAACCAGAGAGAGCTTGTAAGAATGTGGGAACTTATATTCAATGATAAAAATAATCAATGACAGTATTAACAGAAAGCAAGATGGGGAGTGGAGTTGAATAACTTGGTGGTTAAGATGCTTGCCTTCCAATCCCAGGGTCCTAGGTTCAATTCCTGTCAGTGTTGCAGGATTTTTTCCATGACCAAAACACTCCTTAAGTCTCACAATGGGATTTAGTCTGTGTATATGCATTGTGTATGTTCGTCTTGTGAAAGGGAACGTCACCTACACGTAGGACAGTGATTATTTATTTATTTATTTGGTAGTATATTTGTTTTTTTTTTCTTTTTGGTTTTAAGCTTTTCTATTTTCCTTTCATTTGTATATTTTGCAATAGTTCTTGTTTAGTTGTTTACTTCATAATTAAGTTTTCATGATATGTAAAATGTACATATAAGGCCTTGTGTAAGAACACCACCTTCTTGGTGAACAAGATTTTTTTTGTTATAATATATTTTTAGAAAAAAACAATATTAAAGATATATATACTTGCTGCTTGCCAAAAGTAAGACAATTTTATTCATTTGTATATTTTTGTAATAGTTCTTGTTTAGTTGTTTACTTCATAATTAAGTTTTCATGATATGTAAAATGTACATATACGGCCTCGTGTAAGAACACCACCTTCTTGGTAAACAATATTTTTTTTATTATAATATATTTTTAGAAAAAACGATATTGAAGATATATATATTTTGTGTTTGCCAAAAGTAAAACAATTTTAAGAATTTAATGTTTTCTACATTTCTTAACCTTTAACCCTTGATTTTGATGTTAATACTGTATATTATGTAGTGTTTTTTTTTTGTCTGTAATAAATAAAAAGCACATAAATATGTCAAAAGAAATGTCATGTAGAATTTATGTTGATATTTAATACCTGTATTTTGACTTTATAATTCATATGCCATATGTGAGGTCTCGCCACAAAATGAGTCATGGTTAGAAATTCAGAAATTGAGTTTATATTATATTTGAATAGATCACATTATAAGCTTTCATTTGGTCCTTGAATGGCTTCCTAACTATAAGTAAATCCAGAGATGTGTGCATTTAAAGTTTAGGTGTATAAGAACCACGGTTTGAGAAAATCAGCCTCAAAGATAAACTAACCTGTACAGGTAATATGGCTTGAATTACAGAATATGTGCAGAGAACACTGGTTTAGCAAGAAAATTCACTTACAAAGTATACAATCATAAAATATAAGTATCAAGTTATTCAAAAACATTAAAATCAAAATTTTGTAAAAATGTTGACTTTGGCCTGTTTTGGTAAATATCTCAATATGATTTCACCAACGATGTCTTTTTTCGTGGTGAGACCTAGCATATTGGGTCAGATAATTTTTTTTTAAATCTTATAAAAACAGCAAAATAAATTATAATAACAAAGGTAGCGAATGAGTGCCAGATCTTTGCATTTCTTTTTGTGTAAATAATACTTTTACTTTACATTTGTTTATGAGCAATGGATGATTCGGCAGTGAGAGATTTAGCGTGAAATTCCTGCAAGTAATGAAACAACACAACAGGATCTAACACATTGAAAGCAATGGCCTTGATGCATCTTGTCCCCTTACATTATTCTTGATAACTTCTACACATTACAACGACATGGATGATATACTTCCGGATAAATTTAGTTCCATATCGATGAGTCAGATCTATTCAACTACTGAAGGATATTCATAGCAATAATGTCAGTGGTGGTGCCGAAATCAGCCAATAATGATTCAAATCTCCTCAGCCCTCTGTATTTTGGGAAAATTTTAAGAATAGGCAGCTTGGAAATGGCACCCACAGAATGTAAAAAAGCATTTTTAAAGGAGTTCCTGATGGAATATAATTGACTTCTTCCCTGACGAGGGGGCCTTGCCACAGGGCCAACGTCTACGTTCTAATCCAAAAAATGATGCGTTATTGAAACTTGGTGTATTTATACAAGGTCAGCATCAATTGAAATTGAAACAGGGACTTATAAAGATCTGAAATGTTTAGGGTTCAGGGCCCACAGTGGCTCCTAACTTTATAAAACAGATTCACTTTGTTTACATTTAATTGTATTCCTACATTTCACCTCAGATTATTGACATGAGACACAGAACCTGGAATTTTTTTATTGATACATTGGTGTATCTAGGGGTGTGCATGGCCCCCCTCCCCCAAAAAAAAAAAAAAAAAGCCTGCACACCCAAGTTGTCCCCATTGCATGTTCGAAGCAAAAATCACGCTCAAGTAGCTAAAATTAATCATTTCATAACATTATTTTGGGAGCTACCTCTCAATTATCAAGCTACCCAATTCACCTTCATACCCCCATCACCCCCATTTCAAGACTCCTAGATATGCTACTATTATTAGACCAGACCATATTTGGCATGAATATTTAATATTATTATAACAAATCAATGGTTGTGAGACCCTCATTCATAGTTCAAAAATTTACCAAGACCAGTATAATGTGCAGTACACAGTGTATCACATTGTTCACTGACAATTCATGTGAAATGTTTCTATAGATTTAAACTAATTTATATTGTGGTATAATTGCATCATAGGTCATCAATTCCATAATTAAATATTAATTGAGAAATATGTCATTAGTATTGGTAAAATGATATTGATTGTAGTACAATAATTGTTTCAAAAATGTATGTTCCTATACTAAATACACCACGGACCTAGAGACGCTTTTAGTTTGTTTATCGATGATGTTAGGTGTCATTAATAATCATCGATTTAATTAACAATGATCCGAAAGTAGAATAAGAAAGTGAATTACATAATTTAATCTCAATTAGGATTTTGGCAATGTGCCATTGCCTGGGTGGCTGTTAATAGGAGTAGACAAAGGTTTGACAAATTGTTTCATATGCAAATTAGGCATAGACCTTCAACAATTGGTTTACTCAAAATGATTTAAAAGAAATTGTAATAAAATATTAATGAAGATGATAAGACACTGATCAATGACAATGGATTAAGGGTCAACCATTTTATCATATTAATCCTAAAATAAATGTGTTTTAAAAATGTTCATAAAAAAATAGCATCATTGAGTTTACTTACCGTACATTCTACCACTAGCTTTAAAAGACGTTGTTATAACCATTAGTATTTATAAAAGCATATTAAAATTCTACCCCGTAGAATAATGGATTATACCCTGTAGAATAATGGATTATTCCAAAGTGTCAACTGTCTTACATTTGCATACAGAGTAATGATCATGAAGTTAGTTGTAATATCACCAAGTTGTATTCACCACCAAATTTTCAACAATCACAAGACCTTAATGTTGGATTTACATACGTACATAAGCAAACAGTTTGATTTACGTAGCAAGTTGGTAAAAAAATTGAAATTCGTTGATACCCACACTGCATTCCAAGATGATTGTTGAGTTTTCGATTGATTAATTTTCTTTTTGTTTTGTGGCATTGTTAGTATAGTCTACTGCTCAGTTTGATATGCAGAATTTTCCATAAGTGCATTTTGTGAAAATTTTTTGCTAAGCTGCAAATAAAAAATGCACTGATTGATCACCACTTTATAATGCATTTTTCTTTTTATTGGTGGCATCTCAGAAGAAAGAAACAAGATTTTGCAAACAGAACAATTTAGTAGAGTAATTTAAATATATTTTAACTGTTACAATCACAACCAGTCAAGCAAAATGGATGACGTGTTGAACGCAAGTTTTTCAAGTGAGGGTCGGAATCATGTCGACAAAAAAGGTTTTGTTTACAGCAAGCATTTGAGTTCTAACAACCACCATCAGATCGTGCCAATGAGGGAAAAAAATACTTGGAATCGTTTGGTAGATAAAGACGGTCGTTGCACTGTTTCGCCAACAAGCAGGGCACACTGCTGGCGCTATGTTGTGGATTTTTTCACAACATCGGTAGATATGCCATGGCGCTACAATATTGCTATGGTTGTTCTCGGTTTCTTTCTCAACTGGTTCGTTTTCGGTTGCATTTACTATGTGCTTGCTTTCATCAGGGGTGATTTTGACAATCTTGATAACGAGGACTGGAAACCTTGCTTCCGCAACTTTGATAATTGGAAATCTGCTTTCATGTTTAGTATAGAAACCCAAACCACGATTGGCTATGGGTATCGTTGTCCCACAGAAGATTGTGGAGAGGTGATGTTTTTTCTCATGATTCAAACAATTTGGGCTAACTTTATAGAGGCTTTTATCATTGCTAGCTTAATTGCTAAATTTTCTCGTCCAAAGATGAGAGCAAGAACGATTATATTCAGCAAAACAGCTTGCATTACCATGAAAGATGGTAAATTAATTTTTCAATTCCGAGTGGGTGATCTTCAAAAAAGCCCAATTGTTGAGGGACACCTCCGATTACAATTGGTAAAACACTATGTAACAAAAGAGGGCTCTTACATGCCTTTCCAGGTTTTTGATATGAACATTGGCCATGATTTGGGCTTAGACCGCATTTTTCTTGTGTGGCCAATCCAAATTGTTCATGTAATAAACAAGAAAAGTCCGCTATATGAAATTAGTAAGGAAACACTGTTAGACTCAAAATTTGAAATCATTGCGATTCTTGAAGGTATTGTTGAGGCCACAGGTACAACTACACAAGCAAGAACGTCATATTTGCCAAATGAAATTGAGTGGGGGTACGATTTTAAAACAGTTGTAACTGAGAAAAAGGGAGTTTTGGATGTTAACCTGAATTATTTCCACCACACCGCACTCACAGACACAACGCCATTAAGCGCTAAGGAACTGCAAGATAGTCTTGCTGTTGCAAGTCCAGGAGGATCTGATGGAGATTTTGATCGATCTGGAAACCACTGTGATCGGGATAATGAAGCATCCGAGAACAGATCAAATACAAGGAAATGTTGTCACATGCGTAACCGAAGTGTGGAAATCGAACCAACATTATGACAAACAACTGAAGGTACTTACAAAATTAAATAATCTATTATTTCGATGCGAGTTGGCATCAGGAAAATTTCATAGGAGTGATGTTTCGCCCTACCTGACATGTATCGTACCAAATACTCAGTACATCCCCAAATATTTTTTTAGTAAGTATTGGGGACATACTGAGCATTCAGTATAACACGTCATTGTACAGTAAGGCAAAACATCACTCCTATCAACTATATTTCTATTTCCTGCTGAACTCATTTACAGTATACTGTAATAAAAAAATGGTAATATGAATTTTTTGTAGACCTTAGTACCAACTCTAGTAATCATCAAATCTCCAGATGACTTAATTACAGTGTAATTTTGTACGCTATAAAACAGATGAAATCAATATATCAGGTGTAAAGTGTACATTATATCAACCTGTATAAAATGCTATAAATTTAATGATGACTATGCAGTAACAAGATATATCTCACTAGCAATACAATATAATTAATGACTCATTTTACTATTTCAATACTGTTACTGTATATCAAATTCCACCAAAGTTTGAATGTGACGGTTATTTTTACTCTATTAGGTACTTGCTATATTTAAGCTGTCAATTTTCATCATCATAAAGATCATTATTTTTCATTATCATTATTAATACTACCACCATTACAAACATCACCACCACCTACAGATTCATCATTACCTCTATTTCCACCACTAACACAATACCATCAATACTGTATGTCACCTTCATCATCACCACACTAACACCACTATCACTGGCACAGCCGCTACAATCGTCATCATTTATTATGATCATCACCATCACAAGTTAAATCAATCTGCATACAACGTCAGTGTAGCTCAGATAAATTTGAGATTGAACCTTAGCTATGAAACATGCAAGCTTTGTAACAAAGCAGTTCATAAGTGCTCGTAATACCGTGCCAAGAGTGCTCAAACTACATATAATAGTGGGCCAGCTAAATGCAAAACAGCAATGGTGCTATAGAGTGCTCAACAAAACAAATGTTAACGAGCTATAATAAATTAAATCAATCTGCATACAACATTTTTCTGCTGCTGTCGATCGTTTATGCGATATCCAAAGCTCAAGGTGTGCCTTCTAGTGGCCAACATGCATGCACCACCGACAATACGTACTGTAGGAGCCGTATTATGATGGAGAGTATAGTGTTAAACATCCACAGCCTTGAACATAAGCAGCTTGTTGATTCCATAGCTCAACTTCAATTTCAAATATCTACGCTGCACTGATGAGTCCTCAAAGTACGAAAAAATGTTGTATGCAGATTGATTTAATTTATTATAGCTCGTTAACATTTGTTTTGTTGAGCACTCTATAGCACCATTGCTGTTTTGCATTTATGTATTTGTTCACAAATTCACGGACTAGTGCTGCCTCGTAAGAATTTCGTAGGACGCGTAAAGAATGACAAAATATTCTGTGTATCTACTGGAACCGAGCCACATAGCTTGTATTCCACTATTTGCATTCACACCTGGGCTGTGTATATATATATTTCAACTCAAAAGACCAAAGAAGTCAGTGATTACTTGTAGTGAATTACTGGAAATCTGGCTTCAGTGCCTATACAGTCAATAAAATAAAAAAAAACTACATTAGTACAATACAGTACTCGCGCAAATAGGCACCCAGACGCTTAACATATTTTTTGCACTTTTTGAGGGGGCACTTTAATATTCAAACGGGATGCTTATGAAAACAAAATGGAAATTGAGGGGATGTAAATGTTCTTTTGAATTATATTATTATTAAAGTAGGTAGATTAGGATTATATGTTTTGGGTATCGTATCCTGGGCATATACTGTAGGCCTAAGTATAACAGGTGGTTTTCAACTGAGTTGTTAACCCAGGTTAAACAATAAATAAATAAAAATAAATAATATGGAATAGATGAAAATTGAGGGGGTGCTTTCAAAACTTTGAAAATGGGGTGCTTTATAAATGAAAATACAAGTCATAGTACCCAAATGAATGAAGCCCAGATTAAGTAATGATGTGTAGTCAAGTACAATTGCTATGGAGGACGAATAACATGACAACAATGAAAATTTACTAAATCGCTTTTTACGAGTTTATTCTAATCACAATGACAACCAGTAAAGTACTTATAATTTAAATTTATATGTGTTAAAATGTCCAATCAGATAAACATAGTGGACTACACTATTTGTAGCCGCTTACAGTACCATAGTTTAATCAATGTCAATTTTCTCGTGGTCAATTTATCGATGTCAGGATCAAGATGTACCTCACCTCCTCGTCATCTGAAATATTTTCAAATGGGGTTAATCAATTGTCCTTGCCTTCCACTAGCTGCAGATGTACATGGCCATACAGTATTTTAATTTTCAGTTTTTAAATACTATAGTTCTAAATCCAAAATGATGTACTGTACATGGTAGCAATAAAACAAGTACAGGATTCTAATGATGTATCAAAACTGAACACCATGTTAAACTTACTTTAATGGAGACTGACCAACTGAGAAATGAATGGAGAGACAGATCAACCGAATGCTGAGATGCGAAAAGTTGAGGCATCGGACAGAGAATTAAGTCGGTGATGTAAATAATGTTCTGTGTACTGTACTGTATGATTGATTTTTTTAGGAATCTAGGGGTACTTATTCAAAATTGAGGGGCTCTTATTCAAATTAGGTGCGTTTATTCAAATGGGGTGCTTATTCGCACGAATACGGTATGTAGTACAGTACATATTGTATATAATATGGGTTTTCTCACTTATATTACACTTATATTAGCCATTCTTTGTTAACATATTTGGCTACTCGTGACTAGCAAAGAAAATTAAACTATCAAAAGCCAAAAATGTTAGAGCAGAAATAAACCAAATGGTTACCACAACCAAAGATTATCATTTCATTTCTTAAAAACACCCGTGAAAAGTGATAAAATTCAAATTTCGCTGCATATTAAGTTTTGGTAGAGAAAATTTGTTAGTCCAAAATTTTTTGTGATGAATTTTAGGTATAGAGAGATAATGGATTCTATGGATTGATGTCATTAATTTGGTGAATACTGTCTTTGCATAAATATATGCACACTCTGACAATAAAGGAATCCCAGTGAACACTTGGGCCCACTCATAGCTTCAACCTGAGAAGATAATTCCCTATGTCTTTTAGATACATTCTAATTGATTAGACTGGGATTCAATATTTTACTGCGTCATCATCGGAATAAATGTACCAAGATTTAAGATTCAAACATAAATCAACTACACCACTGATGGATTATCATTCAAACTTCATACTGGTCATAGAACCTTCTGATATTGTACGTATCCTTTCAGCTCTTTCTCGAATAGGCCTAGGTATCTTCAAAATTCAGCAATTTCAAATTACGTTAATACTTTCAGATCACGGATGTTTCATCAATGAAATAGGACTAACCTTCACTTCTGTACAATTAACTAATTAATTTGTTTGCTGTGGCTATAGTCGTTTGATAATTTATTGTTCGATTTCTGGTAGTATTGAGTTAAGTCTTGAAGAACAGTGATTTAAAATCATTTTGTTTTTCAATTTTGACAAAAATACCCTTTCCCCTAAAGCCCTGTCTACACTTACAAATTTCCTTTGACAAAAAAACTATTGTATGCCCATTTTATGGTAATGATATGCCTATGGTCATGATGTGACATCATCATGACCATATTTAGGCATGTCACATGTTTTTGTCAAATACAATTTGATAGTCTGGTCAGGGCTTTATTTAAATGATAAAAACAATGGATAATGAATAAATGAATAATAATGAATTACAGAGGACTTTTGTATACTACAGTACTACAATATTAATTTACATAATATCAGAACATTAAATTAATCATGACATACCCTCTCACTGACCAGGATAACTTGGAACAAGGGAAAATGCATATGCAGGGCATATGGTGAATGTTGAAAGTTCTGCTGGTTTGTACTGTACTATATCATATTCTAAATACAAAATAGAATCCAAAGAAAATGTTTTTTTTTAATAAGATAAAATAAAAATGTTTTATTAATTCAAAATTACATGCTTGTTGTCTTTTAGACATGGTGAGTAAAGGTGAATACATAGAACTGGAGAAACAAAGGAATGGATTTGTATATATTTGGACAGTTTAAAATCATCTGGAAAAACTTTTCAACATACAATGACATGATTCATAAGGAATTTCTCGGGACTCATCATATGCCAATAAACATTTGAAATGCACTCTACTAAAGAACAACTTTGACTTTACTCTTCACGACGTGATTCCATGGAGAACATGAGACAAGGTGCGCTACAAGTTGTTTTTAAAGAAAATCCGCTCAGCTTTTGCCATCAACAATCAGCAGACGATGTTGCGTTGCAAAGCGCTCATAGAGAACAGATGGATGTAGTAATGTAGTATGTGCCCAACCTTCTGTAGGTAATGCTCCAATGTTATTGATGAAGGGAAAATTATCTTATGGAAGTGAATTATCTTTAAAACATTAAATATCTTACACAATGACAACTAAAGTTTGAATTGCATTATCACACAGAGAAGATGTTTCTATCAAAATTGAAAAAAATGAAGTGAATGACATTTGGCAGATAAACTGCATTAATTTGCTTTCACCGTAATCATAGATAAAATCTCAAATAATATACATACATTATGGATAGTTTGTGTAGGACAATTTGCATTTTATTAAGCAACACTGTAATAATAGCAGTCAGAAGGGTTGGCAGAGTTCAACCTTTTACTTCACCAATATTTGTGGTCTCCAACCTTCCACCATTGTCTTCAAAATACGTAACAATTATAAAAATTCACTTAAAATTCTGGGAACTGGCTCAGCTGTTACACAAGGTAGTAAAAATAGGTTTCATTTATTATTAGCATAGCAATGAAAAAGGTTATTACATATTTAAATATCACTGCTACCTTTCAGTAAGACACTTTTATACCAATATTATATGCAAATGTAAAGTTACATAACATAATTTTAGTATTTATTTGATTTTTACGTTACTTTTATTCTTTTAAACTAGTTTGTAAATATATTGATGAGGGTTTTGAATAGACTGGATCATGGAGGTATGTCTGGATTTAAAATAGATTTCTTTAAGTCAAATTGTGGCATCATCATTTATCTAATTTTTCTATATCTGAATGCCTGCAGTTCCTTGACCTTTTTCTGGCTGACGTGCAAAAAAAAAAGCTCAAACAGACCAGTTTACTGTGGCACCAAGAGGAATATTTTTTCGCTAGGTCAAGTCGAACGCAACAAGCTTAATTTTCCTATATAGCTTTGGCGAACCCTAATAAAGCCTGGACCTATGATAGGCCTAAAATGTCGTAGGCTAGTCATCAGGATATAAAAAAAAATCTTTTTTTGCTGTCAAACAGAACTAAGCTCCTTTTTCCCAAATTAATTTCTTAGTTTATGTCCAAAATTGCTTTTTATGCTAAGTTAAGATAACATTTTTGTCCCAGAATGTCGATTTTTTTTTCATAATAACACTGTAGCAATTATATTTAATTTTAATTCTACTATGATGTTTACGTCGATTCTCAATTGCTACTTCCCTATAGTACTCACAAAATATCAGGATTTTGACTTTGCTCCCTAAAAAATCTAAACTTAGTTCCTTTTATTTAGTCATTTATTCCAAATTATAAATAAACTGTACGTGCCATGTTCCATTTATATAGAGTATAATGCCAGAGCTTCTATGCAAAAAAATATTTTGACTAAATTATATAGTGTTGCATGAATTTATGCTGAGAATTAATCTGTACAGCTGTAATAACCTTATCTGCATTCAATTATCATTATTTCCATGATTTATAGACAATTTTATATAGTATAACATTATTTATAAATATATTTGTCCTGTATATATGTATTACTTACATTTAAATAAAATTTACCATATATTTATTTCTCTGAGATTTACAAGATGAGTAGACAATGAAATATCCTAAACTTAGTGTATATATTTTGTAGATACCTAGCAATCTGATTTACTTGAATGTGCTGTACATAAATATTAATTAATTATAATTAATGTTATTTAGGATATGAACATGTAATATGTACAGCGTTCTTGTGTAATATTTTCATTAACTACAATTGTTCAGATATATATGTTGAAATTTGGAAAACCATCACAAATTCAAATAGAACATTAAGTTCTGTCCACACTATTAAATATAAGCACATCATCACTATATACAGGCACACCATGACCATATATAGGCACATCATGACCATATATAGGCACATCATCACTATATATAGGCATACCATGACCATATATAGGCACATCATCACTATATATAGGCACATCATGACCATATATAGGCACATCATCACTATATACAGGCATACCATGACCATATATAGGCACATCATGACCATATATAGGCACATCATCACTATATATAGGCACATCATGACCATATATAGGCACATCATCACTATATATAGGCACATCATGACCATATATAGGCACATCATCACTATAGGCACATCATCACTATAGGCACATCATGACCATATATAGGCACATCATGACCATATATAGGCACATCATCACTATATATAGGCACACCATGACCATATATAGGCACACCATGACCATATATAGGCACATCATGACCATACTGTATATAGGCACATCATCACTATATATAGGCAGATCATGACCATATATAGGCACATCATCACTATATATAGGCACATCATGACCATATATAGGCACATCATCACTATATATAGGCACACGTCCATGACCATATATAGGCACATCATCACTATATATAGGCACACGTCCATGACCATATATAGGCACATCATCACTATATATAGGCACACCATGACCATATATAGGCACATCATCACTATATTGGCATACAACATTTTGAAAGTCTGGACAGGACTTTAGGTCTTAAATTTGTGTGAATTTTGTGTGAATTACCCTTTTATGGGCATGATGATGTTTGTCATATCACATCCTTAAATGGCCATGATGATGGTATATCAATCCTTAAATTGGCATGATGATGATATAATCCTTAAATGGCCATTATGATGTCATATCACATCCTTAAATGGCCATGATGATGTCATACCATGGCCATGATGATGTCATACCACATCCTTAAATAGGCATGATGATGATATATCAATCCTTAAATGGGCATGATGATGATATATCAATCCTTAAATGGGCATGATGATGATATATCAATCCTTAAATGGCCATAATGATGTCATATCACATCCTTAAATGGTCATGATGATAATATATCAATCCTTAAATGGCCATGATGATGTCATATCACATCCTTAAATGGGCATATGATGATGATATCAATCCTTAAATGGCCATGATGATACAGAAATGTCATATCACATCCTTAAATGGCCATGATGATGATATATACTGTATCATACCAGCTTATAATGAAATACAGATCAAAAAACATAATTCAGACTTATTGGTTAGCACAGAATTCTTTCTAGTACAAAATTTCTTAGATTAGTAGTATACTGGCCCATGGAAGGGTCTGTGCAAAGAATATATGAACACTATTATATATGACATTTTACTGTTAACTTTGAGTACTTTGGAACTTCTCTGGCTGATCTTAGAAATTTATCCTCTCCTAAACAATTTTTTTATTCCACTTAAGAATTTTCTCTTTTGCGAATTATGTTTGTCTTTATTTGCAATGTTTGAACGATTCTCTCTCTGCGCTGGTGGCAAGTTTGTTTTAAACTGCAATAGGCGTATTATAAATTTAATTGCAAATTATCATTACAATAAGTATCTGTTTCTATATTTAAATTGAAAACAACAGTAATAAACTTTCAATAAACAAAAAAAGGACATAATGAATTTTATTGTTAAGTGTTATTAGTTTCATAAAGGATATACAGTACCTCCTTGGTTTCATAGACAACATATCATTAACAGCTGGCAACTGGATGTCAAAATATAAAAAAATTTAATCCACTGTTTTCTAAATTGTATGTAGTTATACTTGAAGTATAAGAATGTAGTAAATTCTGCCAATTTTATCATATACTGTACTGTAATAGTTTAGATAAAATGCTCTAAGTTATCGGATGGAAACATGTGCCATCTCATTAACATTGTTCACTTCCAACTACGCAATAGTAATTACAATAGGATTAAAAAACAAATATGTTGTTTTCACTTTACTGTTTTTTTACTGAGAAAGAATCTTGTATAAATATAGCAAGTGGTGATTTAAAGGATCCAGGCCTAATATCGAAAGGTCCACTGATTAATCTCAGATAAGAAAGTATAATACATACTCCAAGTATTGAAATACACGCTGGCGTGTATTTCAATACTTGGAGTATGTATTATACTTTCTTATCAGGCCTAATATAGTTGTGGCATGGGAATAGACCTTTCCGGGCTGTCAAACAAACTTCCAAGTAACCAATCAGAACAAGGCATATACGCGCTGCTTACAAACATGTTTTCCACACAAACACGTGAGTTACGAGTTTGTGCAGTGCGAGAAGCGACGTCGATATGACTATTCAGTCCAACAAAAACCTTTTCCAAAGCCAAAAAAAGAGAAAGAAAATATCCTATATTTCAACAGGGTAAACAAGCACACAGCTCAACGGTAGGATTTATTTAAGTTAAGGGAGGCCTACAAAAATAATCGGATCGCGTCGGGATTGGCCTAGCCAGGCCTATCTGATGTCGATCTTCAGGCTCTACCAATGCCTAGGCTTACATTTTAAGATATTCGGCCTCAGCTGTATACCGCGTTCAATGGATCGCGCCTGATCTCAGGACATAGGGCCTGGTATTAATTTTTCTAATAAATTGCAATCTACAAATAAATTGTCAGGAAAATATTCAACAGTATGACAATGCAGGCCTTCCCCTAGGCAGCTTAGATTAGGCCTATATGTAGATGTATTTAAAGCCTAACCTAGCTAGGCTGCCTATATTATGCAAGAGATTGTTGTGTTTCATACAAATCATTAATAAATACAATATATACTTTTTTCATAGCATTTTGTTATTGGAGAATGGTCAAACTATTGAAAATCCTGACCCAATAAATGCAGATGGAACACCAACTGTGCGTAGACGTCCCTACCAGAAATACATTTGAGAAACCAAAACAAAATATCACAGAATGTAAGTTAGGATAGTCATGAGTAGATTTTTCATATTTAAAAAAAATGGTAATTGTAGGCCTACAGGGTTTGATACAGGAGTTTGTGCTGAAGTTTGTTACCTCTTGTATTGTGAACTTGAATATTATTAAGGAAAGTAAGAAAATAATGTTAGCAGCATCAAATGCAATATAAAAAAACAATTGTAAAATAAAAAAGAATAAATGTTTTATGTTGAAAATTTTAATAGATTATGCATAACATTCAGAACATATTACAAACTATTACTAAATTAATTACTGTACATAGCAATACATTTGAAATGTAAAATTATATTACATGTTTATCAATCTGTCATGAAATACTGGAAAGTGTGAATAGATATCCTTATACAATTTTGTTGACATTGTAATACAGAATACTGAAAAGTAATAATTATATATTCACTGGTGGATATGCATTCACATCGACTAAAGATAACAATTACAAGTCAAATGATGTAGTCAGATATTGGGACAGTTGGGGCAATCCCACACCATTTTTCTAATGAGTCCACACAGAATGGGTCCACAATTTTCAAAAATGGGTCCAAATTATGTAATTTTATGCATAAAATGGGTCCACTTTTTGAAAAATGAGTTCAGATTTTTCATATTTTTTCTGTAAAATGGGTCCACATTGTTTGAATTTATGCATAAAGTGGGTCCACACAAAATGTGTAATTCCTTGTGTAGATTCAGGGCCGTCCATCGGGCTGCCAAGAGGGGAAACTCTAACAGGGGAAAGGGTTGGTGTGGGCTCTCAGTTACAAGCGTGAAGTGTGAGAAAGATTGCATGAAGACGCAAACAATCTTTTTGATGGGGCACTGTCAACCTGGAGTAGCCCATTATTAGGGGACCCATGTCATTATTGAGTCCCATGATAGCAATTATTTTTGAAAAAAATATGGGAAAAAATGCTCCCTGCAATTTTTATGGGCCCCCTGTTAAACTAGGGCCCTGGGGATATTTTCCACCTTCCAGCTCTTTTGGTGGCCCTATGTATATTCAAACTATTGGTGTTGAATTTAAATAAAAGATGTATGTTAGATGTATGCCGTTGAAAATTAAATTTAATCATTATGATTCAATTACAGTTATAGAAGCTCCTGTGTGTGTGTGGATTTTTTTTTTGTCATCATATACCGTATTTAATTTGCTTTAATATTATTTTTAGTGAACATATTTTGACGTTATACAAAGCCATGTTGATTGATGGATGGATTGGGTTAGGTAGTCCCTCAAATTTTAGTCTCAGATCAACGTACAGTACATATGGCTAGATAGCAGTACAGTTTAGAAAAGAAATTACAATACTAAACACTACATGAAATGCACTAGTTTAATGCCTTTTTGTTTTGATTGTAAATCTGTTTACATAACGTTTCGGTCAACCACCGTGCGCTGAATGGTACAAGATTTTAATGAAGTGTAAGCAGTTTACAAAAAAACAAAAACAAAAAAAAAACATTAGATTTATATAGTATGACTGGTTCTTCTGATTGTGTAGACTAATTTCTAAAATGTCCAGTGAGAAACATCAAATCCGAATCTTATATAGCAATTATTTTAATTTCTATATGGCCTGGATAATATAAAAATCAGTCAAAATATCATTGACAGATTTAGATAGCCTCCTGACTAGGCCGGTGACGGTATGACTACTGTAGGCCTCCCTAGGCCTAGGCCTATTTGTACTCGAACATGGGAGGGAGAGGCCAGAATGTGGACTTCAGAAACAGGAAGGCGTGAAATCCATGTTAAACCAGGTACTGCCTAAAATAATTAATATAAATGTAGTTTCCTAATTTTTAAGTCGAAACCTTCCTGTGACATTATCCCGATTTGCAACAAGAAGAATCGATGAGATTTTTATGCTGAAATCTCGATGTGAAACCATGGAGATGAATAAGACTTACGCATTAATAGCCAGCATTTTCCATCAACTTTAGTGTTATTATTTTAATTATATGAATGTATACTTGCAAATAGTAATTTAGACCTCTTTTTAAGACATTTTCTGATACATTTTTATGATTCGGCAGAAACGTAAAACAGATATTGTCCAGAATACCTAACAATTACTCTGTTCCTGTGAC